CTTCCTGCCCTCCCCCAGAAAACCAGGCGTTGAGTGAACCTTCCCCAAGATCGGATGGCTCTGAAATACCTCCCTCCTCTCTCTCTTCCTAAAATTAGCTCCAGCCCCCTTCTTGGACGGCAAGGGAGGGGAAAAAACCCGGGGAGAGATGGGAGAACAAGGAAAGATGGGCCGGCGAGAGCGGAGAGGGGGCGGGAGGGAGGGAGAGAGAGAGGAAGGCCGGGAGGAGCTCTCCTTGGTCCTGATGGAAAACGGACTCCTCCTCCTCCTCCTTCTCTCCCCCCTCCCAATAGGAAGACAGCCCCGTCCCTCCCCACCTTTTACCAATGACGTGATTGTGATGGAAAAGAGCTGGAGGCTGTGAGGAGGAAGAAGAAAGGGCGGTGGGATGAGGGCGAGGGAAGAGACGGCTTCCAAGGCTGGGAAAGGAGAACCTCCTGCAGCTTTCCCCAATCGGGTGGCTTTCTCCAGCTCTGCTGGACTCCCAAAACCCTAGCCCAGGGCATGATGGGAGTTGAAGTCCAAGACATCTGGAGGAGAGCACCCGGCTGGGCACGGGCCTCACCGAAGGAACAGGATGTGAACCACCTTGGAGAAGATGGATCCCCCTTCCCTTTCCCGGCTAGTTATTCCTCAGCCACCGCCAAGAACGAGTGGTTTGGGCTTGCTCAGGGCTTCACTGCTTGAATGCCTCCATCAATCTCCCTGTGCAAGATCCCCAATTTACAAAATGCCCTTTAAATCAATGTCAAAACTTTTGTGGTGCCTCAGAAAGGCAAACCGCGCAGATGATTAACGGGGAGGAATCTATAATAATTTTTAAAAGTCCAGAAGAAATTATAAATTCAGAAGAACATGGTGGGAATTTTAGTAACTGAGTTGCTACAACCGGGGGGGGGGGGAACCTGCTTCTCGGTCTGCTGCTGTGGCTGGTAGTACCCCAATCCATTGCCTGAGGTGACTAGTTTGCATCATCTCCCAGGAGAGCTGACTAAGACTGAAAAGGGTCTCCCATCCACAGCCATTCAGTGGACACAGCAGTAGGGAGGAGACACAGAAATAACCTTAGGTTTCTGTGCTAGATCTTTCAGGTTTTTTTTTCAACTGAACCAGACTGATTTATATTTGTCTGGAGTCTAGACAATACAATTTGATAAAGAACAGTTATATTGGATATCATACTGCTGGCTGGGGCTGGTTGCAGGGATCACATAACCCCCCTCTTACAGCAGCTCCACTGGCTGCCGATCCATTTCTGGGCAGAATTCAAGGCGTTGATTCCAACCTATAAAGCCCTAAAAAGCTTGGTCTAAGGCAGTGGTTCTTAACCTTTGTTACTCAGATGTTTTTGAACTGCAACTCCCAGAAACCCGAGCCAGCACAGTTGGTGGTGAAGGCTTCTGGGAGTTGCAGTCCAAAACTCCTGAGTAACCCAAGGTTAAGAACCAGTGGTCTAAGGCATTTCAAGGACCTTGTCTCCCTTTATATGCCTGCTCGAGTGCTAAGATCATCAGGAGAGGCTTTTATCTCGGTCCTGCCACCCTCCCAGGTGCCTTTGATGGGCACATGAGAGAGACCTGCTCTGTTGCTGCTCCCAAACTCTACAATTTCATCCCACCGGAGGCTAGATTGGCCCCATCTTTGTTGTCCTTCTGCAAAGAGGCAAAGGCCTTTCTTTGCAGGCAAGCTTTCTCTCTGCAGCTGGCTGCCTGAGAGGACTTTTTAAAATTGATTGTTGCATGTTATTGCTTTGAATGTGTTTTGGTATTGCTTAGGTTTTTTGTATGGTATTTGTGTGATCTTTTTTAGTTTTTGTATACTCCTTGTTGTTAGCTTTAATATTCTCTTTTAATGATGTAAGCCACCTTGGATCTTTTTAAGAAGTAAGGCAGGCTAAAAAAATAATAAAAAAATTACTGGATACCCTCTTTGCTCTCCTCATCCCCCAACATTATTAAACGTACACAACACACTAAGTGTGGCACATACCTTCATTTATGAGACGTAATTAAAATATCCTTCCCTTCCTTGGAGATCTGGAGAAAAAAAAATATTTCGGAGCTACTTACATTTTTTATTAAAAAGTTGTTGCCCATTGATTATCTGATTCGTAAACTTATGGTCAGAAAAATATTTCTCCTGATCAATTCATCTGCTCCCAAGAGGTTTTGGATTCTTTTTTAAAAATATAAAACATCCAGAGTGGGCCACTGATTTTGTACTCACTTAGAGCAACTACATTAGCTGCAGCAGTGAAAGATGTCATCCAGGAAAGTAAAGCTAACCTACATGTATACACAAGGTGTATATATCTATATAGTGTGTGTACATATGTAGATATGTATATAGATTTTTTTATAAAGATAGACAAATTGATAGACAGATAAAGATATTGAATGTGTTTGAACACCCATGTGTACAAGTGTGCGTGCATAAGCACACAAACACACAAACACACATATATAGCTTGCTTCCTCCTGCGCCCTACTGGTGGGCTTTGGTATAATCTGCGGAGCAGAATAAGGAAATGGCTGGAGGCGAGCTGATTTTGCTATGAATCAGCCAAAGTGCACGGCCCTCTGCTCCCGTCCAGCTGCCTATCGCCTGATAAAGTTTCGCAATAGGGACAAGGGTTGCTAGGTGATCTGGTGAAATGAAGAACTGCCTGACCTCTTCTTGTGTTTTATCCAGGAGCCATTGTCAACCTTTGTGAAGCTCTTCATGACATAGAAGTAATAAAGATTCTCACCAGAGCTTGGAAATCTTACTTTCTTTGGACTACAACTCCTACAGTCTGTCAGCCAGTATGAAGCAATGGTCCAGAAGCATACCACTTCCAAGGTCTGATCCTGTCTGCTAAATTATCTGTATATCAAGCAATTGTTAAAGACAACAAAACAGTTGTTGTTTAATCATTTAGTCGTGTCCGACTCTTCATGCCCCATGGACCTCAGCACGCCAGGCCCTCCTATCTTCCACTGCCTCCCGGAGTTTGGTCAAATTCATGTTGGTAGCTTCGATGAAACTGTCCAACCATCTCATCCTCTGTCGTCCCCTTCTCCTCTTGCCTTCACACTTTCCCAACATCAGGGTCTTTTCTAGGGAGTCTTCTCTTCTCATGAGATGGCCAAAGTATTGGAGCCTCAGCTTCAGGATCTGTCCTTCCAGGGAGCACTCAGGGTTGATTTCCTTCAAAATGGATAGGTTTGTTCTCTTTGCAGTCCAGGGGACTTTCAAGAGTCTCCTCCAGCACCACAATTCAAAAGCATCAATTCTTCAGCGGTCAGCCTACCACAACAGAAGTCTGAAATTAAAGTTGACAGTCCTCATATTGAAAAAAGCAGATGGCTGGGGTTTGGGTCCAAAACCTGTTTTTAGTGTTGTGAATGTAATTAGAAACATGTCATAATGAAATGTCTCAAAGTACTTTCCCAGTAACTACTAAACGATGTCCATTACCCCTCCCATCCCTTTCCCACAAAACACATAGAAGGGATCCCAAATCCATTCCTTGGTTAGATTTGAGCTCTCACAGTCTTTTCCAGCCTTTAGTTCTCATAGATTGCTGGAGATCAACTACATGATTGTAGTTTAACTACTTCTGGACATCCAGGGTTTGGAAAAACTTTTAATTTTTCCATACGTGTGTGCAAATTAAGCTCTGATGGTATGACACAATGTGGATTGAAAAAAAATACCTAACCTGATTCAAGCCACAGAATTGTTGAGCTGCAGAGAAAGGAGGGACAGGAGAAGGGAGGACCCTAACTCCTGCTAGGGCCAGCTGGCTATTGAGAGATAAAGCAGCTATTGGTGGAAGGCCTACCTCAGAGATAGGCCTAATCATAAAGCACCTCTCTGCTGTGTGGAGCAGCTGGCACCACCCAAATGCTTCCATTTATGTGCTGCTGGAGACCAAAGTCTCTAGCTGTATGGTATGTGTTTTTTCAAATATTTCAAGGAACATTTCATTGGCTGAGTATGCTCACAGTCCCTCTGAAAATCTTCCAATAACAGAGCCAGTTGCTTTACTTTACCAAAAGGATCTCTACTGAATTTTTTTAAAAAAAATGTATTTCACTTGATTAAACGTTTTCTACACAATAACGGTCTGCTAGTTCAAATCAATGAGACACTTCCCACAGGCCCCACCAACACCTATACCCTAATTTGGAGCCTCCTCATTTCTTTACACGTGATGGATCATGAAGTTGCAGTTAAAATATGAGCCCAAATGTACAGGGTTTAGGCTAGCTTTCCTCCCCTCAAACCTGAATACAAATAGGTTGGATGACCATTCCCACCACCCTCCCCAGGTTACATGGCTCCAAGATTTCATGAAGATGAGTCTTGATTTTGTATCAAAAAGTAAAGAAAGAATGTACCTTACTTGCAGAGAAATTTGAAGGCTGCAAGCCATTTCTATAGATTCCAAGATAGCTTTGCATATGAGGTGGTGGATTTTAAACCAGTACACAGCACACAAACCAGTACAGAGACCCAGCATTATCTCCTGCCAATCCATGGACAGCTACCAGGGCCACCATAGATCCTACCAGTGTATAGATTTCCAACTGTTATGTTAGTATAGTCAGGAAAATAAACAAAGCAGTAAAGACAAAAAATATATGTTATGTGGATATATATTATGTGGATTGTTGGAATCAAAGTTGTGCAACTTTTGAAGATCCCATCCATCCCTGCCTTGCTTCAATCACTTTGTCGTAGGGAAGCTTTCCCAAGGCAATCTCCCACAAAGTTCCCACAAAGTTCTTACAGTTTGCCTGCAAGCAGACGTATCTGTCCACAAGGGAGCCAAGATACTTACACTGTTAGGCAACCACAAGGAAAGTTGCCATTCACTGGTGGTTGTGATCCACAAACTGAAGGCCAAACTTTCATTCTGATTAGAGGTGTGGGATCTGAAGCACACACTCCCAT